TCACTGAATACATCAGCGAATTCTGAGATTAGCAGGTCCAGATCAGAGGCCAGCCTGAGGGAATTGACACCGGTGATGGACAGGCCGAAGGCACGGAACCAGTCCAGCCTCAGGAGAGAGGTCAAGGGATTCCTGACCACAATGAGGGGCAAGGGACCCTGGAATTGGCCATACTGGACCGGCAAGGTGAGGCACCCAAGGACTGGAATGGAAGTCCCCTGATAGTCCCTGAGGTGGCAATGGGCAGAAGAAAGTTGGTCCCGCCTGAAGTGGGGGAAGAGCTGTCTCAGAGTGTCCCAGGAGATGATGGATCTCAAAGAGCCCGTGTTGAGCTCCATGGTGCAGGGTTGGCCAGCCAGTAAGACACGGAGGTGCATCTTACCCCAGCCCTCTGAAGCAGTTGAAGCGGAGTCCAGCTGCCGTTTGGAAGTGAGCCCCTTGGTTCCGAGACGGCGTACCACCCTTGGTGGGAAGACGATGGAATGGACACAGGCTGGCGCCCGGCAGGAGCTCTGGCAGGCCGTGGTGTGGAGGCAGGGGAATAATACACTGTGGTGATGTGCCCCTTCTTTCCACACTGACGGCAGAGGGCAGCCCAAAATCAGCAGGATGAAAGGGAATGGCGGCTGCCACAAGTGAGATAAGCCCCAGCATCTTTGAAGGAGAGGGACCGGAGGCAATCCACTGAGAGGTCGAAGTTGGAACGAGGGTCTTCTGGGCCCATCTGGCAGTGGATGGAAGCAGGAGGAAGAGAAACCATGACCGAAGGAGGGAAATGGTGAAGATCTGGCGTGGACTTGTCAGCCATTTCATACGCTCGTGCCTCATCAACGGTGATCTTCATAGAGAGCTCCGAGCAGGAAAGGATGTGGCAGTGGAGATTTATATCTTGGAGGCCGTATATATAAACTTCTCCAAGAGCGCGTGATCCAAGTCCAGGAACTCGCAGTCGATGGCAGCGGTGCAAAGAGCCACCACATACTGGGCTATAGACTGGCCCTCCCATTGGATACAGTGACAAAAATGTTGGTGCCTGGCGTAGCAAGAGGGAGCCGGCTCATAGTGAACCTTCAGGTGGGACAGAAGAATGTTGAATGGAACTGAATGGGATGGCAAAGGAACTGACAGGGCACGAGCGGTGGAAAACATTTCAGCCCCGCAATAATGGAGGAAAACTCCTCGCTTTTGCCCCTCTGGAAGATCGGTGAGGCCGTGAGCCTGGAGGAAAATTTCGAACCTTTCAAGAAAGGCATCCCAACTCTCCACCTCAGGACGGGTGAGAAAGAAGAAGTGGCAGCAATGGCCGGGACGTGCACTGGGTCGACGTCGCTCATCCTCGTCACCAAGTTTTATGTACGAGGAGGCGCTGAGGTAACTAACAGGAACATTTATTGACAACTGGTAATACAACAGCAAGTTCAGTACACGCGTGCTGGACAGCGCCGCCTGACAGCTATTTATACTGATAGCTGTCAGGCGGCCGGCCAATGGGGTGGCCGCAATTCTCATGCCTTCCAGCAGCCGCGCCAGGACCATCAGCCTCTTGCAAGGCGTGGCTTGGCTGCCGGCTGCGTCAAGAGGACGCAACACAATTACTTTCAAATTACACTAATTTTGAATTCCTCCCTCTCCCTCTGACCCACTTACCTTTTCCAGCGGTTTCACTGAGGATTTCAACTCTGCTCTTGTCTGCCATGATGAAAATGTAAAAATATAAAAGGAAAAAGGCAAGAGCTGCTGAGGTCAGGCTGGGTTAGCTGCTGCCAGAGTCTCCAATGGATAACTCTGCTTAACTATTTAAAAAAGCCTCTAAAAAACTGTCCTCTACAGGAGGCGAGAGAACCTTGTGTCTCATCTACATAAGGAATTTTTCAGCTTTTAACCCTTGGTTAACTCTGCTCGAGTGATCATAACGATAGATTAAATGAGGCATGTGGTTCTCCCATCTCCTCCTGTAGATGGCACTTTTTAGAGACTTTTTTAAATAGTTAAGCACTAAGCAGAATCATCTACTGTGACTCTGGCAGCAACTACCTCAGCCTTTTTCCTTTTAATTTTTCTTTTCATGATGACAGTGGTGAGGCCCTGCCTCCCCTGACTGCACATTAGTGACCCTTATGCATGCATGCCTGGCCCCATACATGCAGCCCTCCCTGCACATCAGCTTGCAACCCCCTGTTCTCCCCCACCCTACCCACATTTGCATGCAACCCCCACATGTGCACCATGACCCCCCTGCACATGTGCACACATTTCCCGCATGCACCCTGCCCATCGAGCATGCACAGCAGAGACCTGAAAACCAGCTAGTTGGTGGGAGGCAAGGTGGAGTTGAACTGGGATGTTGACTGACATGCCTGCAGGGAGGGCTCTGTGTATCATAGTTTCACCATAACATATCTAGTCAATATTAAACTTTTTCATTTAAAATACTATATAATAGAAGCTGCTTATCTCTGCTTCCTGTACTAGAACCTATATTTTGGATGCCTTGCAAAAAGGCTAAGGGATTTTTCTTCCGTCAGATACTTTTGAAATCCTACTCTGGACTGGTTAAAAAAATCATACAGATAAACATATGAATGGTTATATATGTTTTTTTTTATTATTTTGTGTTTGTCTGGCTTTTTATCTTTGGTTATAGTAGTTTGATTACTTCAAATGTATTAGCTGACTCTAAACAGATTTTAACAAAGTAATGAAACAGAAAATGTACAAATATTTTGCCATTTCAGAATATTTTTAAGTGAGATATGTGAGTTCAGCAGCAGCAGTAGTAATCTCAATATATTTGTGTATTTTCATGGTGAGTATTCCATAATTTTCTTATGGTTCTCTCCAGCTGAATTTATCCATTGTTAAAAACTTAATAATAGGATACCTGCAGAATTCCATAACACAAAGAAAAAAAAAGGTCAAATAAAAATTCTAAAAATAAAATTTCCAATCAAACATATATTTGTCTTAGATATTTAGACAGTTCATATCAGAAAAACATATATTTCTCAGTTTGAAGTTATGCTACTTTGAAAAGCAGGAGAGCCACTCTGTGTATTTAGAGGGGTTGTAAGAAATAAACTGTTAAATATATTCTCAGTAATTTCCTAGATTTCATCGCAAAACATAATTGGTAGCAAATGGAAAAAAGAAAATGTAATCCATAGAGTATCATGCTCCTTTGTAGAGAACTCTACCAAATTTCAGAATGTAAACTATTTGGTCTATCAAATGATATTTAAGTATGCTTTAATAGGTAAGATTAATTTTTTCAAGGCAGTGTAATAATATCACAAAACTCATCTTGACTAATCATCAAAACAAATCAGTCTGCTACGATTTATTTAAAGATAGATCAAAACAATACATTATTCTCATTCTCTCTATCTGTCCCTCTCCCCCTTTCTTCTGTGTATACATAAAAGGAATTTAGTAAAATATTCCATTATAATAAAAAGTAAATAGAGTTCATGTTGCATATTCAAATTATTCACTAATTTCATTTTTTTATACAAAGTAGATCTAATATCTTCCAACATTGATTATAATGGGCAAAAGAAAAAAAGTACTGTCACTATTTTATTTCACTGACTGTATGATAACAATATAAATTCTGATTGTGCTCAACCCATTCATTTCAAGTATTAATCAATGATTAATCTAGCTATGGCTATAACACAAATTAGAATAAAATTTAATATGAAAATGGTAATCTCCTAGTCTTCATCTGTGTTTCTGATATGGTATACTATTGATTCTTGAATTTATCTATTTTGTAGATCTCACTGACTTGACACATATAGAAATTTACCTAAAATTGATGAAATAAATGCTGGTTTCCAACCAACTCAATATTTACAGACAGGAAAGTTTATTTAAACAATTCATTGCACAGGTTGGAATTCATTATTTATGATTTAAACATAGCATGCTTAAAGTAAGAAGGAGTTTACTTTAAAATATGAATGAAATATTCTGCTTTGAAATGGGAGAATATGTAAGAGTAACCATTATAGAGGTGTTTTTTTTTTGCAGTATGTTGATATTCAAAAGCTTGTCAAAATGAATGTATTTCAGTAAAAACAAACAGCAATTAATAGCCAAACAGAAAAAAATACATATTTAAATATTTGCCATCAAAATGTACTAAAAATTAAATAGATTATGTCCTTTATCATTAATTTCTTGAGTATGTCCATCTCAAATCAATATATTAGGTAATGTTTTTCATTAAATACCACAGAATTGTCCCCATGTACTGAAGTTTTATTTCTGACATGTAGGAAACACACATATTTTGATGTATAATAGCATTTTTAGACATATATAATAATGTAAACTTAGAAAAGGTACCTAAAATACTTGCCTGTACTTTAGATAATTCTTGAATGATTGCATTAAAAAAGAACTTCAAAATATGAATAATTATTTAAAAATGGAAGAACAGAAAGATATAAACAACTCAGCATTTCCTCTTCCACGTATGATAATTTTTTCAAATTACTTTTCATTATCACTGAATGTTTAGTGATAATGAAAGAAAAAAATCACAAATATGATAGCCATATGATGGCAAACTTGATTTCAAGAGTTTGGGATCTCAACCTAATCTAACTTTCCTGAGTTGAATGAAATATATACATAACGAAGTATTTTTGGAAGAAAGATTCTATTATTGTTGATCTTTAATTGGTTTGAGAAACCAGAATGGATGACCAAGTCCACCCTGATTCATGAAATCTCAATGAAAGTGATTCTTTGGTAAAACTTGAGCTACTTGTTTTCTTGTTTCTTACTTAAAAACAGATTTTGTAGGCACAATATACATGAAAAACATCATGTAAAATTAATATATTTATTATTTAATAATATTATAATGTATTGAATGAAATTCTTACATGTGTATGTACAAAAAGCTTTTTTAAATGTCAGCTCTGTGAGGAATATATGGTACACTTATGAAATTATCTCTTTAGATAGGAATATATTTCCAATATTTCCTTTCACCAAAATGTGTAAGACTTTTTGCCAAAAAACTTTTTCATCCCAACTTTAACCTCCTGGTTTCTCAGGGTATATATAAGTGGGTTCAAAACTGGAGTAACTGCACTATATATGAGTGTTATTACCATGTCTCGTTGAGAGGAGGTACCCACAGTGGGAAGCATGTAATTGAATAATACAGGAATGTAGAGTAAAGCCACCACAGTTAGGTGGGATCCACAGGTAAAGAAGGCTTTTTGCAAACTATGCTGGGAATGTACTTTACAGAGAAGGAAAGTGATAATGTAGAGATAGGAGAGGAGTATAAAGATAAAGGGGCCCATAACAACACAGCTGGTTACAATACTAAGGAGCATGAGGTTGAGGCGTGTGCTTCCACAAGCCAGTTTCAACAATGGCTTGATGTCACAAACAAAATGTTCAATTAGATTTGGCCCACAGAAGGGAAGATGAGCCATTGCCACTGCATGCATCAATGCATGGAAAAAACCAGTCAATAAAGTGGCAGTTGCCATTAAAACACAACACTCTTTTCTCATGGTAACAGTATAACGCAGTGGGTTGCATATTGCAACATAGCGGTCATAGGCCATGATTCCAAGGAGAATTCCTTCACTACTACCCAAGAAATATAAGAAGAATAGCTGAACCATGCAGCCATTGAAGGAAATTGTTTGTGGTTCTGTTAGAAATCCAGACAACATCTTTGGAATAGTTATTGTGGAGTGAAAAATATCAAGGCAGGAGAGATTTCCAAGAAAAAAATACATGGGGCTGTGAAGGCGAGGTTCAGCTAAAACTACAATCACAATAGCCCCATTCCCTACTAATGTGGCCATATAGAGTAGGAGGAAAATGGCAAAGAATATATACTGAAGCTCCAAATCATTGTTCAGGCCCAAGAAGATGAATTCTTCCACTTCTGTATGATTCTTCATTGCTAAAACAAATAGATGAAAATGTGACAAGAAATAACTATTCAAGATTTGAAAATGATTTTGCAAGTAAGAAAAGCAGGCGTTGTTAAAAGTAAGAAGAAAACGATCATAGAAATTGCTTAAAAAGATATAGACATAATAAATAAGGGATAGGTTAAATAACTCTTTACTTTGGGCAAAGCACAGTTCTCACTGTGGTAGAAATGAAGGAAAAGATCATTAGGATTTCAATAAATGAGGGATTTTTTAACGCAAATATATTTTGAGATCTCCAATGCTTAATAAAAACATTCAGTAATTATATCATATATCATATATCAGTTCATATATATAAAGTTGATTGTTACTACTGAAGGAAAAAGGTTTCCTGAATTTACTGCCAAATTTAAAATAGGTAACTAACTTAATTCCAATATATTTTATTATCTTTTCTCAACTTTTTTTCCCATTTCCTTTCCTTTCCTTTTATTTCATTATTTCATTTCAAATTTGCCTCAAAGTGTTTGCCATAAAATGAATGAATGTCTCTTAGGTATCTTCAGTTTGCACAATAGGGAGAGATGTTTTCTTGTTTCAGCTGCTAGAAATAATGCAAGAGTCTTGGAAACTACTAGTACTGCATTCAGACAAATTGACCTGCTATATTAGGAAAGAAACTGCAAGGAGAAACAAACCAGAATATGAAGTTGACATTGAACTAACTTTGTTTAGACTACCCTGCTTTATTAAAATTGTGAAATGTAACAAAATGTTTTACATGGGGAGGAATTAATTAATATATTTCCATCTTTAGTCTTTGATCACGAATATAAATACATATTTATATGTATTTACCTATGGTAAAGTTGGAAATAACATCCAAAAATAAATTGTAACTTAACGTCTTTCAGAGAACATCCCAGATTTCTCAGTAAACTATGTCACCTGGTAACTACAGAAATAGATGGTGACATCTATAATTTAAAGTTAAGAGATAACCTGGACAATATTAAACTTTCTTTTTTCTAAAGCAAAATTCTTAGAAGTTTTAACTTCTCAAAAAGGAGTTGTATCCATATAAAACATTTCAGGAAGATTTTTGTTTCCATGGATTATTATTTTTTTTTTGAAATCCTAGTTTGGACCAATCAACAAATAAACCATAAATGCATAGTCTAGATTAATATGTGTTGGGTTTGAGGGGTCTGTTATCATACTGAGCATTCCATTTCTTCCTTTTAGGTACTTCAGTGAAATTATCAGTTGCTGAGCTATAAAGGATACCTGCATGTTTCCATGGTGAATAGAAAGAATGGATTCAATAAAAAAAAATCCTCTCAATAAAATGCCCAAAGTAATATCAATTTGATTATTTCATTTCAAATTCTTCCACTTCTAGAAAAAACATACCTTAAGTACAGTACATTTTTGTAAATTTTTTTATCAAGTACATACCTTAAGAGAGTATCTGTTTCCCAATTACTATGAAAATTAAAGATAAGTAGAGTTTGAGAAGCAAATGATCAACATTGTGCAGTTGATCTTGTGCAAGAAAGAAACTTTTAAAATATAATACATCAGTAATGATTTGTTTCTTTACAGCACATTTATAATTTTTTTCTTGGTTTCCACTGGGGAATAAAAGGAAGAATTCATGATGCATAATCCTCTAAGGGAAAATACCCACTGACTTTAAGAACGTAAACATTATCTTCACCAATTTCTGTATTTTTAATGAACATTTTTTTCTCTCTGTAAGGATATAGCAAAATTCTGTGTGTGTGTGTGTGTGTGTGTGTGTGTTTGTGTGTGTGTGTGGCCAGTTCTGGAGAACCAGTAGCAGATCTTTTGAGTAATTCATAGAACCAGCAAATACCACCTCTGGCTGGCCCCACCCCCATCATCCTCTGCCTCCCAAGTCCCAGCTGATTGGGAGGAAATGGGGATTTTGCAGTAACCTTTCCCTGGAGTGCGGTGGGAATGGATATTTTACAGTATCCTTTCCCTGCTATGCCCACCAAACCATGTCCACCAAGCCACACCCACAGAATTGGTAGCAAAAAAAAATGAATCCTAGTATTGGTGTGTGTGTGTGTGTGTGTGTGTGTGTGTGTGTGTATAGTGTGTGTGTGTGTGTGTGTATGTATATATGGTGTGTGTGTGTGTGTGTGTGTGTGTATGTATATATGGAGTGTGTGTATGTGTGTGTGTGTGTGTGTGTGTAATGTATGTGTGTACATATCTATTCTCTACTGTTCAACCTTAAGGGAAAAGTTAATTTTCTAAGACAGACCAGATTCTGTTTGTGTTTGTTTGTTTCAGGATCACAATGTGCACACATGTTGTATTCTATATGCCTTCTACAACATTTTTGTAGATTTTTTTATCAAGACATGAACCACGTTCTATGACCAATTAGATCCCACAGATTAGGCCTCCTCCGAATACCATCCGCTAGCCAATGTCGACTGTCAACCCCTCAGGGGAGGGCCTTCTCTGTGGCTGCTCCGGCCCTCTGGAACGATCTCCTCGTGGAGATTCGTACCCTCACCACCCTTCAGGCTTTCTGCAAAGCTATTAAGACCTGGCTGTTCCGGCAGGCCTGGGGCTGATGAGTGAGTCCCTCGGGAATAGGGCAGCATACAAGTGTATTAAACATTGAACATTGAACTAATTCCCCCTTTACACCAGGAATCAGCAGTCTCCAATCAATCAACTACAACCGTGTGTTCTGGTCCATTGTACTGTTCACTGTTTCAGCTACTAAATTTAATATCCTAACACTTGGATCTTGCAGTATTAAATTTGACTTTTCTTTTCTTTCTTTTTCTTTCTTTCTTTCTTTCTTTCTT